GTTCAGTTCATTGGCCTCTGTCTTTGGAATAACAAGCACTCTTTGTGTTTCCATGTAAAAGTGTTCCTGTCCTCCAACATGGACCTCTCCTGTTAGGTGCAAGCACAGGGAAATTCCTGAAGGTGCAGGCTGGTTGGAAATGGTCATGTTGGGGGAATCAAAAGCAAGCAAGATGTGGTGGACTGGCCAGCCTGGAATTGTCCTGACCGAGGAACTGATGGGTCAGGCATTTGTCCTGTGTCAACTGAGAACAATCTTTCAGAGATTACAGTTCTGGATAACAAGCAAAAGCAAGCAAGATGTGGTGGACTGGCCAGCCTGGATTTGTCCTGACCGAGGGTCAGGCATTTGTCCTGTGTCAACTGAGAGCAATCTTTCAGAGATTACAGTTCTGGATAACAAGTAGAACGTGTCTGGTTCCGTTCCTCACTCTGCCCTGACGCATCAAAATCTTAGGAGTTTTTCTTCTATTTATTCTGCTGCTCCCTACCTCCCACCCTCAAAACCAACACACACACACACACACACACACACACACACACACACACACACTATTTGGAAAGAAGAGATCTAAGAGAAATTTGGCAAAGCACCAAGAGGAAATCACAGGCAGTCAATGTCTGCTTTAGAGTAGAATCCCCCAAAGATCCCACCAAATATCCTGAGTCTCTTACCTTCAACAATTTGATCGACTTTTTCAAATGCTTCCTCAATGTTTCCTTGTTCAAGTTTCTTCTCAGGGCATAGGAATGAGTTGTGTTTTATGGCATCCTAAGTGACAGGAGAAAAACACAGAGCCAATTCTTTGTAAGTTTCTTCCACTGGCAGTGTTTTTCTTAATAAAAAGCCAGCAAACTCCCCAAATTGCCATTTGCTAGGACACATCAAAGGAGTCCTGCAAGCAGGGAGGTACTAGAGCAGTAGACGTGCTGCAGAGATGGGATGTTGGAGAGATTGTCTTCTTGACCGCAGAGGAAACCAATAAGGGTTAGAGAAACGTTAAGAATTGAGATCTGGAGGCACTTTGATGGTCCAGGATGATCACTACACATTTCTCATTTTTAATGTGGATCTCCAGGGAACAGGTGATAGGTCTATATCAGGGTTCCTCAAACTATGGTCCGTGGGCCACATGCAAATACAAATATTATATTTGTTCCCGTTCTGTTTTTTTACCTCAAAATAAGATATGTGCAGTGTGCATAGGAATTCGTTCATAGTTTTTTTTTTAAACTATAGTCCGGCCCTCCAACAGTCTGAGGGACAGTGAACTGGCTCCCTGTTTAAAAAGTTTGAGGACCCCGGGTCTACATGCAGTATGGGTGAGGTTCTGGGCCTTCCCTTTTTACCTTTTCCACGAAGAAAAACACTGGTGTAAGACTTAGGTTGCTCATGTACAAGAACCTTTAACTCAGAGATCTGAAAGAGCAGGCCGTGTTGAGGGAGAAGACTCAAGTCCTAATGCATTTCTGGGTAAGAAAGCCCAATAGATGTTGTAGGAAGTTTTTTCATTTCTTTGACATTTGACATATCTCACAGGGCTGATCTAGTTCTTTGTTTTCTTTCTGATAATAACATGAATGAACTCAAATAGAAGACTGGGAGCCATTCTGAGGTTCTGTCAGACCCAAGGTCGTTTTCCATACTTCAGAAGGCACCTGTCTTCTGCATTCTTACTCTCCCATAGCTTTAAAGCTATTGCCTTTTTTGCTAAGGATGATATTAAGATATTTACAAAAATACTTTTAATCTGTAACCTTACGGGAGAGGCCAGTCAGCTTACCTCGATGGTGACGATTACGGGCTCCAGATCTTCATAGGTGACCTTTATCTCTTCAATTGCACGTTTCGCCTGTACATCTGTCTCTGCAGCCACAGCACAGATGATTTGACCCACACAAAGTACCTGTGGAAAGTACATGCATGAAGCAGGTAGAAAATTCTGGGTAGGAGTAGGTTTAAGCTCAACTTTACCAGTGGCATCTTAGTTGTCATCATTGAAAAATAATAACCACTTTGAAGTCACATTCAACTGTATGTGCTTGGTTAACACATTACAATTTTTTTGAATTAAAAAAATAATTTAAATAATACAGATGTTTCCATTGGCCATTTTACTCAATGCATGTAAGCTCCAGAGTGAATGTGAGATTGGCTGTGACCTGAATCTGCTCTGTCCTGTCAAGTTAGGGTCATATGTATCGCCTTTGTGGTGTCATTTTAGAGTTTAAAGATAAGGACAGTATTTTTTTGTAGAACATGGCACTCCACCCCCATTCAAGTGTTGAAGCCCTAACCCCTCAATATGAGTGTATGGGAGATAGGGCCTTTAAAGAGATAATTAAGGTTAAATGAGGTCATAAGGGTAGAGCTCTAAATTAATAGGACCGATGTCCTTACAAGAAGAGGAGGAGAAGCCAGCGAGGCTCATGCACAACAAAAGGCCGTGTGAGGATGCTGGGAGAAGAAGACCATCACAAGCCAGGAAGAGAGCCTCAGGAGAAACAAACCTGCCGACACCTTGAACATGGACTTTCAGCCTCCAGAACTGTGAGAAAATAAATTTCTGTTTTTTGAAGCCACTCAGTTTATATTATTTTGTATGCCAGCCCTAATAGATAATACAGGTCCTCAGTGACAGCCAGCTTCATCTGGAGTTCAACCAAAAGAACAGTGATTCATGCCAAGGCTGCAGGAGACACAGTCTGTATGGGACTCTCTGAGATGTGGCAATAACAGCTAACACTGAGATCCTTCACGTGCCAAGCACTGTTGTAAGCACTTCACATGTATTAACTCATGTAAATTTCACAGCAACACAGTGAGGCGGGTGCAATGACTATTCTCATCTTACAGCTGATGCCACCCAAGGACACAGTGACTGAGAGGTAGAGCTGGGACATGAACCAAGGTAGTCTGGCTCCAGACACAAGAGCTCAGTGAATGATTGTTGAATTGGTTAAAGGTCAAAGATGGCAAGAGCAACTTTTTAAAAACTGGAGTGTGTGAGGTAAGTGGAAGGTGGAGGGGATGGAGTTGATCCAGGAAAGGAAGGAGTTCAGTGTAAATAACAGGGAGTGGCTGTGTTTTTTGTTCTCCTTTCTACATTTTTCTATTCTATCCTGACACAGGTCAGTTCCTACATTTTCCAGAGGAGGATAAATTGACTCAAGAGCACACCGGTGGTGGTGGTGGTGGTGGGGAACTAGGAGTTATTTTTCCATAGTGACTTTACTTTACTTTTTATTATGTTATTTCCTGACTCCAGAAGTGTAGGTTTGTCTGAATAAAGATGTTAGGGGTAGAAAGAAGCTGGGAGAACTGGCACCTCTACCCACATTGGCAGAGAGGGCAGGGAGGCCATGGGAAGTCGGCTTGGAGAGGGTTCCTTGGTGATTATCTATACAACTCATGGAAAGGCATATTCTGTACCTCATCTACAGCCAACAATTTCTCATCTTCAGTACCATTGGTGCCTGGAATGTCTTCAGCTGTTATCACATCAACCACCCCGGGCAATTCAAGGGCCTTGGACAAATCAATTGATCTGAAAAAAAAAAAGGAAATATTTAAGAGATAGAAATCAGCAAGTTTTGAGGGTCCCAAACCTGAAGGAGGGATAGAGCATAGTTGGAAATAAAAGTATAGAACAACTGGTCCAGCTTAGGCCCTGATCAGGACGCCCCCTGCTGGGCCCGGGGTAACATTTTCGCTGCTGGGAGGGGAGCTGTCAGATGGGCCAGTGTGCCTGTTGCAAGGGGCCTCCTTAGGAAGCATAGGATATCGCCATTTACCATTCAGTAATGAAGGATTTCAGTATTTTATCACCAGTTGAATATCAGCTCTACTTATTTATTTGAGCCCTGCCTGGGGCTACAGCAGGGAGATGGGGGCACTGTGAGGTTAGAATGGAATCAAGAAACCCATAGCTATAATTTTTGTCTTTTCCATGTGGTCATTTCCAGATACTTTCCCTTCCTCCTCCGGGGGCTGGTGACCTTTCCTTTTTCTTTTTTTGTGTGTGATCTTTACTTTACTCTTTCTGTTTTAGGTCCTTTGGGTTTAGGACACTGCAGAAGAATTGGCACATTTCTCCGAGGAAATCCTCAGCTCTTGGCTCTTCTGGGAGAGCAGTAAAATGGAAGGCTCTGTGTGTGTCCCCGCGTGAGCCCCGTACCTCTGTGCTTCTCTCCTGCAGCTTCTGTGGGTCTCAGTGTGCCTTTCCTTCCTTCTAGTTGTAGAGTTTACAGTCAGCCAGGCTTCCTGTGGTTCTGGGTGAAGTCCGTATTGTTTCTCTGAGGTATTAATCAATTGTTGTGTGCGGCGTTAATTTCCCGGTGTTTATCTCTGCCGCCATCTTAGTTCGGCATCTTCTTTTTCTAAGCAGTACCCCTGTGCCCCTTTCTTCTGGAATTCAGGGGTCTGTCTCCCTGTCCTGCTTTCTGATTTTCCCAGTAATCAACCTGTTCACATGTAAAGGGATCATGATGATGAAGGCTAAAGTGATGTAATTCCTGAGGGTGAGGGACCAAAATCTAAGCCCAAAGCAGGATCTCTGGTGGGGGAGAGGGTAGCAAATGGCCGTGGGGCCCACCCAGATCCAGACTAAGTGCCTTGGCTGCCCTCCAAGGGGCGTAGAAACATCCCTGGGCATGTAAGGCTATGGAGCAAATGTTCGCTCTGGAACTCTTCTCCAGGAAG